CCATTTTATTATTTATTAATTAGTAATTTGTATTTGTTGATGAAAGAACTATTGGTCGATACAGCTGCAGCTGTCAGTATCCAGGGGAAACTGGTTTCATTTGTTGTTATTTTCTCAAAAGAAAGAACAGCCAGTGGTCTCTATGTGAGATTAAGCTACTATGAATATAACATCTGGAGCAGAAAATGGATAGAAAGTTCAGAAAGTTCAGGCAATATGTTGTTGCTTGAAACACCTCTAAAGACACATGCATTCGGTCCACTTAATGGCACCGCCTGAAATGAACTGAATGTGGAATGTTTGGGTCTTTCTGAATATGTCAAATTAGAGTATTACCATTGAAATGTTTATTTTTTGTGTTGTATGAGAGAGATGAAGAATGCGATGAAGGGATGACCGACGTGGTCTGGACATTCCCAGTACATGTGTGCTTGTGGATTAAAAGGAGATTTCGCATCTCCCTGAAATGAGTTTTTGGAACTTGGGATGTCTGTATTTGTCAGTCAAGGGACACTGATTTGATGAACAATAATATCACTGAAGTCATTGTATGTTAAATAGTATTTTTTCATATCTTCTTTGAAATTATAATATATTTGATATTTTTAGATGTAAATATATTTTATTTATGTATAAATAAACATTATGAACATATAATATTTTAGTTAACATGTGAATAAGGATGCTAATGGATTAGCTCGACACATGTCTCAACACATTGGTGTTTCTGGACCCAGAACTACATCGCCTTTAGGAGGATAACTTACACAGTTAACTGAAATTAAGAATGTTTGTTGAATCTGATGTCATCAACTTCTAGAAGTTCACACTAGGAGAAAAATTAGGAGAAAGTTATTTCAACCCTGTAATCACTTCCTGAAGTATGGCCCAGACATAAGATTTGTACAGTGACACTTTTTAGCAACTTGCCACTCCTTTTATAATTAAGGGACAACTGAAGCAGCTCATTAATTTCGTAACACTGGATAAAAACAGAACGTTTTGTCAACTATTATTTGGAAATGCATTTATTGTTCTGTGTTGGAAAGTTGGAACTTTCTAAATTAATGTTATGACTGAGTTTATTTTATGGGGGTGTTGAACGAAAAGGACAGTGGACTTTCTAAGTTAAGTTAACTTGTATTTATGTTGAAGGTGTCAGTGGAGGCCTAATGGTTAGAGCAGAGCATTTGCCATCTGAGAAGGATGTAAGTGCCCAGACTGATGCCCCCGGACTCCGGCTTGCTCGCTAGGTAAGCTGCCTACTGTTCTGCAAGGGTGATAGGTTGAAGAACTGTAGGTAATCAAATTTAGTTTGAATGTAAAACTTGCAATTCAATTAAATTTAGTTTAATTATATAGTGCCAATTCATAAAATCTCAAGGCACTTTACAATTCAACCAGATCATACAGTCAAACTGATTTAAAGTTGTTTANTTCAAACTTTGAAAACCAAGTCCAGTGGATATTTTTTGAATTTTTACGGAATGACTATGACCTGGATGACTGAGAACCTTCATCAGCATATTGAATGCCTAATCTTAAATGACACAGCTACAGGAAAAGTACCCCCCACCCCCGTACTTTTTTGACCTTTTGCCATATTTCAGCATTCAAACATAAAGATAGAACATTTTCATTTTTTTTCGTGTGAAAAATTAGCAATAAGTGGGACACAATCATGAAATGGAGAGAAATACACTGGATATTTCATATATTCCAGAAGTCCCCATCTTGTATTTTCCACAGTTTTTCAGGAAAACCACTGAGACTGATGAGGGAGGAAGGTAACAGACTTAACGGGCCTCCTGTGCTTTGGTATTCACTGTGAATGCAGGAAAAAAAAAAAAAAAAACACTTTGGGCAGTTTATCTATCCATGCCTCTAATCGAAATGGTCCTGTATCTCTTGTACAAGCTAAAGAAAGTTGGTCCTCTTGTGGGTTTCAAGTCATGAATGCTAATAAGGTGGAACTATTCTCCTTCAAGTGTGTGAAGTTTCTAGGGAGGTGAAATAACTCCCTTCCTTTGAGGATTTTCCAATCTCCCTTTGATAACATTGATGTTGAGGGGAGAACATGTGCATTTGTTCCTGTCTTTGAGTGTGCTTGTGTTAATTCTAAGGCTGAGTCAGCACATGAGTAAAGGGGGTGGGGGGGTTGGCGGATGAGATCAAGAATGTAAAAGGATTTCTAGAGCCTGAAAGATGAAACTCCACAAGAACATGCATCTTCTCCTATTCAATACTGTCATCCAGTAACTGAAACCTTCACAGTGCTTAGTTTTGACTATGTCTGCATATCACAGGTTGAAGGAAATATTGCTTGCAATATAGTCATACAGTAAGTGAGGTTATGGAAGCTAAAACATGAGATCATTTAACCATCAATTTATTCCATTGCAATTATATTTTAAATATGTTAAAAATAAAAATATTTTAAAATTGTTTGCTATGGTTAAGTATGGTTATAAGTAAAATATCTGCCAAGAACTGTCACATCTTTTACTTTAAAACAAATGAATTCTGGTGGCAGAATAATAAACATACATGTGTATAATGCATGGGACACACACATAAAACTTAAAATACTATTCTTGCTGAGGGAAATTTAGTTAGTGAGTTTAACGGTAAGTGGTAGTTAGCTGCAGAGGATTTCAAAACTTTGGTCCTTGAGAAAAAGTATGTGCATAAGGCTGAGAATTCTTGCATGCTACACTGGAGGATTGGAACATCTATTTTTGTTAAGTGTTTTCACATCAAAATGTAAATTCATTTGAGGCTTGGAAAAAAAAGCAGCATTCATTTCAAATGTCAGTGAATTATTGTTACTTTTCATTTCTGCAGGATTTTGTATTTATGTGTGACCAACAGCTATTGTGCATCTTGGATTAAACAAGTATATGTTATACTTAACAAGCGTTAACAAAACAACCAGCTATAATTTATTCATAATGATGTCCACTAGCAGAAATGAAAATTTACATTAGGTTATAATTAAATTATATACGTATCCAACAGTATTTCAGTGGGTGGTGGGGCACTGAACCTTGACTCCATTAGTGTAACTGTGAGTGCTTCCGAAAACAATCATTGTCTCCAGTAAATATCAAATAGTACTTTAGATTCAGTGTAAAAATGACTTATCTTTAATCAGAATCCAAAATTGTTTATTGATACCCAATTTCAAATCAGCCCTTGGGTTCCATCTAAAGCTCAGACAGCTACCAGTTGAGGCTAGGAAAGAAAGATTGTAAGTTTGCTTCTATTTGCACTCAAACTAAAAGTCCAGATGCATCTGAAAAGTGATAGTTAATCTTTTTCAAACATACATCAATAGGGATAAAAATCCCTAGTGCCCATTATATGTTTAGAAGTGATACAAAACCATAACAAAAGTAAAAAGCCACAGCCATGGCTGGTAAGTAGATGACTATAGAATAACAGGTCATGGTCTTATTCCAAAATACCATGAAAAGCAAGACTGTAGGGTACAGATGCACAAAAAAAGGCCTTAGGGCTTATGGAGTTATGAAACAACAATCAACATGTGTGTTTCGAATTTCACTTTGTTGTTTTTTTCTTTTTGGGTGAGGGGGTTGCTAGCCTGAAAATCCCTCCCCTCTGGTAATTACAGCTATGGTAGCATCGTGTAAGATAGAAATTTTGCTCTGGGAAGGACTGTGGCTATTGAACATCAAGACACCAATTTGGTAGCTGAGGGACATAGTGTGAAAATACTGTAGCAATATCTAATTACACCAGCAAGGAAGAGATTTGAGAGCAAACTGGTCTTCTAAAATGATGATAACTCCCATCACTGAGTCAGAAAATGAGACCAAAATTTTAAAGGATCTTTATCCTCTTTAGAGAAGTTTTTATCATTTTTTTTCTCCTTGGCTGCACCTTTGCCCTATTGTGGCTCTACCGTTATCATACTCCCTCCAAAATGGTCAGTTATCCCCAGCTATTGTCTATATTTTTGCTGCTATATGTTTAGGCTGCTGGAGGATACACAGTAGATTTTCCTCATGCTGCTTCATTCTATCTCTATTCTCCCATTTTGCAGAAGTTGTTAAGTTCCATTTAGAACATTATGTTCTCTCTGTTTTTTTTCCTTTTATAGTCGCTTCATCTGGTCTGTTCCTGATTGGCTGTGACATGATCTTTGATGTGCAAAATAAGGAAATTGGAAAAAAAAAAAATGGCACTCAACATGTCTAAACCAAAAAAAAAACTTACACAATCCTAGAGCAGCATATTTTATGGTCACTGACAGAGGAGAATAAGAGTAATCCTATGCAACCCAGTTGCCAAACTCAGAGTTACACTGTAGCTCTGTTTAGCAGCCCTTTCACCCAATGCTCAGCTGTAACGATTTTATGGCCATAAATAAGACTTATGCTATTAAGACTAAATCAATGACATTGAAATGGCATCTTGGATTGTTTTAGATGCAGTTGACCTTTTTGTCTGCAAGACCCAATCTCATCGAATTATTCAAGGAAGCATTCCCTTTAATATTCCCCATTTTAGATGTGATTATTCTATTCATACCAGCGATGTGTAACTTAACTGTTATTAAAACCTTTACTTAAGAAACCTTCTCTTGATGAAGAGGGTTGAATGAATGATATACCTAATGCATAACTAATCTTTTTTCTTATTAAAGATCTTGAATTTTGTTACACATCAAATGTAATTTTTACTGTAGTAACATTGTCTGCTCCGAGCAAGGGTTTCACCAATCCTGTAAAAGTTTGGAAAGTATGATATGAAAAAGAAAAACAAACAAAAGAATTTGACTGTCAACCCTAAAAAGATAATTGGCTAGTGAAAACAAATAACTTTCAACATAATTAATCAAAATGGAAGGAAAAACATTTTAATTTTAAAGGAAAAAATGTCATATAACTTACTGTTTGTAATGAGATACACTTAACCTTTTTATAGGGAAAATATCATGTGTGGTTTTGTTTTTGTGATTTACGAGTGTGTCTTACCCACAGTGAGTTGACCAGTCAGTTGTCCCTGATCATTTCTAGCATTGATGGTCACATTTCTGTCTGACTGAAGAATCAGTGGACTATCCTGAGGGGGGTAGAAGAGAGAGGAAAGAACACAGGTAACGTTAAATTCTTTTGCTGATATAAGATAGAAAGCCTTTGGTAAAAATGTATGAAATTAAAATGTATGTCGATCTTGCAACCTTTAATTCAATACAATTAAAGAGTTTGGATCGGTGTGCCACAAAGTTCTTGGTTAGGAAAAGTTGTTTTTTCTAATGGAAGCTCTTTAAGAAATGTTGATCCAGCTACTTTGATGCCACTGCACATTTAGCATATTTTGGATGCTTCTAGCCTTTAAACATCCTAACCTAAATAAATAAGTCATTTTAATGTAATTATATTCTTAATGAAGTAATTTGACTATTAAAAATAGGTGTGTTGACTGTATTCCCTGCCACTTATTGTACCTCTTGTGTTGTCACCACTTTAGCAACTCTCAAAGTCTTCAGGAGTATCCTCTTAGCAAAACTGGTAGATTAGGGGCCCTGGTAGCGCAGCTGTAGTAAGATTAAGCATTAAAGATTTGTATTTATATTTACCTTAAGAAATCTCTTTAAAACACCAGCTTTACCAGAAATATTGCAAACAAAGGTAGACCCATAATAATATCAGAAGTTTATCATTAACCCTAACCCATCCCCTTGACGAGTAGTGGGCTGCCATTGTGCAGCGCCCGAGGAGCAATGTGGGGTTAAGGGTCTTGCTCATTGACCCAGAGTGCAGACTGTGGGCATCAAAGTGGGTACTTGCAACCTTCTCAGAGCATAAGCGTACTGCTCTAACCACTAGGCCAATACGCATCAAGAAATGCCCAATATGCATGTCTGGATGTTCGCATTTGTCGATGCTGCCTGCACCTGCAATGCCATAAAAAGTTTCCTACTGTATTTTATCAAATTTATGAAGTTTACAGCTCTGTTACAGTATAAAACACAGAAAGGCTGAATGGGATTCTGTTATTTTAGACTTTACTGTGCACTGTCTGACTGAAGGAATCCCGTTCAGAGTACAGTAACTACTACAATACATATGAGGATGATTCTAAACAACTTTGAGCAAATTCAGCAAATATGATCAGCATATTACTGGTAGAACATAGGATAGGCAAAAATATATATGTTTAAAATGTCAAATGATATTTTCCCTGCAACATTTAAATATTCCATGTTGAGGTCTTAGATTCATTCTAACCATAGGAAAGGAAACTTTCAACTACTGTAAAGTAATTTTCTTCCTTCTCAGTGTGCATTCGTAATTCTATGGATGCCGAAGTCAATTCAGTCAATACTTAATTACTCTGTATAACTAGTGCCTTTAAGTTGTAGCCACTGCCCCATTTTAATGCTTGATTCATTCTACTCTGCAAACAGAACAAACTTTGCAAAATACAGTATCTATGTTATATATTTAAAACAGAACTATCAGGGAGTTCTTGCTTGCTTTAAAAAAGTAAATTTCTATAAGTACAGCTGCAAAAAAAACCCAGTTACTTAATCCCCTAATGACACATTTGCAGCCGTGATGATTTTAACCTTTGCTGTCCTTTACTCTGATGTTCTCCCACTCTGATACAGTCAGCCACTGTAACACTGGTTAAGATTTTCCCCTTTACTGTTATAAATTTAACTACAAAAGTTAAGCTGGTTGGCTGTCATTAATTGGAGCATCAGATTCCATAGATATTAGTGTCTACTCTTTTTCTTTTTTTAGGATGTTTTACATAATTTCCTTTTTTCATTTCCATTCTCTTCTTTCTCTTCCTCATTTTCCTTTTTAGATTACTTATTTGTTTTGACTGCATATGAATGAACAGCTCACAGGTGACCCAATTTCTCTCTTGATTTCCCCCTATTAATATCGTGCTGGATTCCCGTCTGAATTTTAAATGAGAATAGTGTTCAATTTGAAAACTCGTTGATCCGTTAAAATGGAGAAATCCTTTTTCCCCCTTTTCATCCTCTTCACTTCCCCTCTTCTCATACTTAGTTGTGCTATTTACTATAGATGAATATTTATTATTTTGCAGCCTGCTGCTGCTTTCTTTTTAAATGCCAAACATGTCCAGGCTCTGTTTTAGAGCAGGGGAGGGACTTTAGCAACAAGGGTCAAAAACACAAATATGGAGTGCTGTGCAAATAACTGTACTAATAGAACTGCGAGTCACAAAAATAACTACAACAGAAGACAATATACAGTTAAGATAAACAATCTAGATGTGTAGCTGTTATATTGAATGAATATGTAGAATCTGCCACTACAAATCTCATTCTTTGTATGTTTGTCACACCTAAATGTGTCATAGCATCAAATTAAATGAAAAACTATTAGTTGACAACAGAAAACACAAAAGGCTATTTTAAAACAAAGTGTTTCATCTTTAAACAATTCAAGCCAACATGGTACTAATTTAAAAAAGTGATTGCCCACCTTTCATTAAAACATGACTTGAATGTTCGTGGCTTATAACACATGACTTCAATATCTTTAGCAACTACCAGGCTACACCTGTTCTCAATCAAGAAAACACCAGCCAGACAATCTGATGTACGTAAATCTTTAAAAGCTTGAGATCATGCTGAGATCTGAAGAAACTTAGAAAGGAGAAAAAAAGTGATTGACATTGATCAGTCTGGAAAGGCTCGAGTCGTTTCTAAAGCTTTAGGACTCCGGTGAACCACAGTAAGAGCTGTTATTAACAAATACCAAAAACATGCAAAAACAGAAGGAAAATATCTGACGATCTGTTTGTGACGGCAAGCTGTAACATCAATGATCCAAAAGTCCATTTCTGAATTGCCAATTGCATTTTATGTCATTGATAGTCTGAAACACGTTAGTGTAACAAATATGCAAAAATAAAGTATATAAATAAATAAATAAAAACTAAAAAATCATGAAGGGTGCAAACTCTTTTTTCCCACCACTGTAATGCTTGTGTCTAGCAGTCATGTATGCTGTAATTTATTTCCATGATGGTGCAACTCACTCCACACTACAAAACATGACAGCTTTAATGTGATTTAAATTGAATCTGCCTAACGGCGAGGGTGCCTATCCAGAACCGATCCAAATCACTTGTCCAGTACTTTGTTTTACATGCAAAGCTTATGACAAATCATACTTTATTATACAATATTATGCAATTTTATTGCATTGATACCCTCTAAAACAGATGTATGTTAAAAAAAGTTGTTCACATTTTTTTTACTATTTTAGAAGGAATATGAAGTGCCTTAAACTATGATGGTTAATTTTAATTAATAACATGTGTAAGCTGTACCAAAAGGATATGAACATTTATAACATATTTAAAATTAAAAAAGATTTGGAAAACCAGTGTTATATAATAACACATTCATTTGCACAAATTAATAAGTGTCAATCATTTGCTTGATAACTTTGAACTGTCTGTTTATTTTTTTCAAATATGACACATTGGGTGTTAAAGTAGTAGCCATTCAAAATTTCCCCACCTTCCTTGATGTGCCCTTGGCTGGTTCTTGACTGGTCTCCTACAATTTCTTTTTAAACATCAATCTTTGTACTAAAATATTTGTTCTGTCATGATTTGTGGACATAAAGATCTAAAGAGAAGCAACTTCTCCTATAATTCAGTGAAATGGTGGAGTCAGAGTAAAATAATATGCATGCCCAGGGAAGGAGGGGGTCACTCCAGTGGCTGGATGTTGGAGGGGATTTTGCTGGGATTTACAGGGAAGTGTGCTGCCATTCATCTGGGGTTTGAATGGGAAGAGGCATTTTCAATGGCTGCTACTGTAGCTTTCAACATATTCTCATTATCAGNTTGGTTTTGCTTTATATAATCACCTTAACCCAGGACTCTTACCATTAAAGTTAAAATGAAAGACTGGAATTAGATTATTTTTTCAATTTAATTTTGTTACAGGGTGGGAATTACAATGGAATTACTCATTAATCACTAAGCTGGATTAATGCAATCTGTCATATCTAACTTTTCCCACTGACCATTGCATTGGTTAGTAGCAAAAACACCAACACTAGTGTAGTCTTCAATTTGCACAGTTACAGATGTGTTGGGCCACCTGTGGAGCTGGTTTACAGTTGCGTTTTGTATCTCTGTTTCTTTCTTTACGTCTGCTTCTGTCTCTTTGAACCCCAGTTGGCCTTGGTAGATGGCCGCTTACTTCCTGTTAAAAGGGAGTTTTTCCTCTCCGCTGTCACTACAAGCCTGCTTAGTGTGAGGGATTGCCTTCAAGTCAATGAGTCGATACAATCAACTCGTTTCCCTTAGATTGAAAACTTTGATTCATTGTGACTGTATGATCTGTTGATTGTAAAATGCCTTTAGATGATGTGTTGTGAATTGGCGCTGTAGAAATACACTGAATTGAATTGAATAAGTCTCACCAACAGCTCGAAATAATCTGGATCAGATGAGTGGTAATGAGGGACTGGAGCGAGCAAAGCAGGTGTTTGAAATGAGTAATCAGACCTGGCATCAGTGCTGAGATCATCACATATATGGCTTTATATAAACTCTATGTTAAAAGTATTTACTCATCATGCCAAATAAGTGAGATAAGAGTCAGACATTCTAGCTTTGTTCTCTGATAGGATGCTATCTGGGCAACGAGTCCAGGACCTCAAATGGATCAGTTTAGTGCAGGGCGTGAACAAGTCTGCCTTGGTTTAAAAAAACAGACAGAAATAAAAGCCTTCAAATATGTTAAGAGTTTCTGTAGATTGGTTTGAACCCTGAAAATAAAATAAAATGCTAACTTCTATATCAATCCCTTTGTTAAAAAGTGTTGTACTGTATGATTGCTTGGGATGAGCTGTTAATTATTTTATACCTTGAACAGCTATTTCAGTATCAAAAGCAGTCATAGTGTAAAGAAAAACTAATCTGGCAGCACCATGAGGTAAGTTAATGGTTCTATATTCACTTAAGCAGTTGGGACAATAGTTTACCTAAAACATTTTTGGTTATCTAACTATTTGTGTTAAAATGTTTTTCCAGATTGTTTTTTTGCAGTAGTA